TGTGATTTAAACTAGTTTAAAGCCAAACAGGAGAAACGCTGTGTGCAACGAGACAGTCAGAAGGCTTTTCAATCTACACATCGCCATCGTTTACCATGGATTTACTGTAATAACACTCACTGCACCATGGTATTGTGGTAGAAATGTGGGATATTCACACTGAATTTTATTACAGGAGTAATGGTATATAATTATAGTATGTATTTGTGATTAAGCTATAGCATGTGTGCATTTATACCATAGACTATAAAAACATGGACGTAGTGTCCGTGATGTCACCCGTAAGTTTCTGAAGAGCGTTTTTGAAGCTCAAAGTGGGCGGAGCCGGCCGTTGCCATCTTGGCAGCGCGTCACTAACGGATAATCTAAATGGGCAAAGAAGCAGGAGCTGGTTGCTGCGACGGTGGTGACAGCAGCGGCAATCCACCTGCCACTCAAGTGGCCACGCCCTTAATTATGCAGAAATTTAAGGCTTAATATAACTTAAATGGATTAGTTATAAAAAAAATTGTTGTCATGAAGGGCAAAATTAGCCATATAGACCAAAATAATTTTTTGAACCAGGCTGTAAACATTTTTAGACTATTGTTTTTCATACAAACAGGCTACCTAAAAACCATATAGTTTTACTTTTTACCTTGGTATTGAGGTGCTATATGTGTGGTTTTAATTGTTTATCATGATTTAAATGTATGCTACTGTGGGAGACCAATGCTTAATAAAAAAATAAAAAAACATGGTCAGAAAATTTAACCATATAAAACTGAGGTTGCTACAATTTTTACAGATGCTACTGATTTTGATAATGAACTAAAATTTACCTCTGCATCCTAACTCAAGCTACAATCAAATGTGCATTTCTAAGAGACAAAAAGTGATATTATTATTATTAATAATATGATCAGGCAACCCAAACCTGTTTCTTGATTTGAAACCATATCACTCATTAGAACATGCAGACACTAAGAAAATATATATTTTTTTATTTAGATATATTTTTTAAGGAAAATTAATTAGTTTCTACAACTTTCACTTTGGAGCAAAAATCTGGCTTTAAACTTGAAAGAAAGAAATATGTGTCATTTATCGTTATAATTATCGATATCGACTGATATGAAAATAATTATCGTGATAATTTTTTTGGCCATATCGCCCATCCCTAGATAGACATACCCCATGATATGATTATAAAGTGCTTTGGGTGTACAGCAATACACAGTTAAGCGCTATATAAATGCTTGCTTCATTCATTCATTCATTCATTCATTCATTCATTCAGTATCAACACATGTATTTGGTTATTTTCTTTTGGAAAGAGGAAGAGGAGCCAGATGAAGGCTTTTGTCAGTTCGGACTCCCATGTGCTCTGGTTCTGATTGGGGTTTACTTACGATCCACTGGCCAACCAGTCATGGGTGTCATAAACCAGCCGTTCAACCGCAAAGACTCCACGGGTAAAGGGTAAGAGTGCTGCTTTAGCAGTGTTAACAAGAAAACACGGATGTGACACAAAAATGTGTTGAGAATATTGTTTTAATACAATAAAAAACAATAATTAAAACTGAAAACCACATGAAGACTTCAGATGCAAAAAAAACTCCTGACATTTTTTCTTTTAAATATATATTTTTTTATTAAGCTCCTATATTAAGGTACAGTAATTTCACTTTAATGGCAATGACAAGGTTATTAGTCAGTTATTTAAATGTCTTATTTTCATAAAATGTGGCTTTAGTCAATTCATTGGAATTTAACAAATATGATCGTCTTTTGCTGCAAAACCAGCCATGGGTGCTTTTTTTGGCAAAAATGTAAAAAACGTCCTCCTCTTTGGACAAGACATAGTACACAGTTCACTAAATTAAATAATAATTTTAATTGTATTTTTTTGGGTGACTTATCCCAAATATCCCTTATCATGTGATACAGACAAGAGACAAAAACTCGTACAGGGGCATTTTTGCCCCAATCAACTGAATTTTAGGGGCATATAACTGTATTGACTCTCACATTTCTAGCTAAGTAAAATGATAAACTAAGTATGCTATTTAAAAATATACAGATTATCCATGACATTTTGGATACTGTGCAAGAAGCAAGGCCTTGTTAAAACAACCACAAAACAGATCTGCATCCAGATCTCCCAGTTTGTTTGTCAGTTATCTGTCTTTTGTGACAGACGAATTTTTGCAGATGTACTTCTGCATTTTTGTATCTCAAGTCCACCATCAGCATCATAAATAAAGTGTTTATAAATGAAATTTATCAAAACAAATGCTTTGGCTGAAAGACTGTTTGTTGTGGTAACCAATGAAACATCTCATCTCAAGGACATATTACTCTAAAATGGATTGTTGTATACTTTTCCCTCCTGTTGTGTAAAATCGGTGCATGCCTTTTGCATTGCGGGTCAAACTGACCCCCATCACCAAAAATTAAAACTACGAAAAAAAATAAAGATTCACTTAAAAACAGAAAACTACTACTTCATCTTCAGAACACAAATTAAGATATTTTTCTGGGCCTTGAACATGTCTATGCAGGGTCAGAAAGCTCTTGGATTTCATCAAAAATATCTTGTACTCCGAAGATGAACGAAGGTCTTACGGGTTTGGAACAACACGAGGGTGAGTAATTAATGACAGAATTTTCAACCCTAACCCTTTAACGTCTTCATGTTGTCGTGATTGTAGATGGAAAGGCCAGCACGTCTGGGGTGTTTCGTATGGAGATGTGAACGTTTGCTCCGTCACTCAGCGCAGGCCGTTTTGTCCGCAAAAGAAAGATGATTTGTCTGTGCTGCTGAGCTCCAGCGAGAGGCCGGCTGTGAAGGACGCGCTAGCAGCCATTTCCAGCGGCTCGCTGATGTACGCGTCCGGTGCGGGATACAAGATCCTGTGCGTGGTCCAGGGCCTGGTGGATGTGTATGTGCTCTCCGAGGGCAGCACGTTCAAGTGGGACTCGTGCGCTCCTCATGCTCTTCTGCGGGCGCTGGGTGGCAGCGTCTCGGATCTGAGTGCGTGCCTGCGTGCCCACGTCAACGGAAACAAGAGACACGCGGCTGAACTGACCTACCATCAACCGCACACCGAGAGTCAAGGTGTGGACAGATGGGCGAACCGAGGAGGAATAATCGCATATTTGGACTCCAGCGTAATTGATTAAGTCGTGGCGGCACTTGCTGGAAAGATATGATGAAAAATAGTATGATACTGAAAGGCAAGAGCTTAGTGTATGTCCAAGTTTATGTGTACGTTATGCATAATCTTACGTCCTTTGATGCTATTTTTATGGTAAGATTTAGTGGCATATTCAAATATTAAGTTAAGGCTGTAGCTTTTCAGGAGAAAAGATATATTATAGTACTTATCTTCCATGTATATATCAGCAAGTTGTATTTTTTTGGTTATATTTTCAAGACAAAGGAAAAGGAACCCAATTACTGTTTTGCCGCATTCTCATGGTAATGTTGCGTAAATGTTTCAGATCATATCATGTTTTACAGTTTCTGATGGTCACCTGAGATAAAAGAAGAAACAGAAACCGACAGTTCTTCGTTTCATAGTTGCTGGATTACTATATATAACACATGGACATTCAGGCTCTTTATGGTGTCTTTTTTTGCTTTTATTTTATCCGTCTCTTTTTTTTCCCTTATATTTGGGGAAAATGAGTGTCATGACAGTCTCTCGTTTTTTAGACACCACTGGTCAAAAGTTGTTTTTTTTACCTTTCAAAAACAAAAAAAAACCATAATTATTCTTAATAATTAACTGTTGGCCAGTAGTGTACGCCACAATAAGAGAAAAGCTGATGTGCAGCCTTGATGTTTTTACATACAGCAACCCTTGTTCATTATGGGATATTTTATGGCTATATATATATATATATATATATAATGAAGACTTTCTATTTGAAAAAACACAAATCATTTAGTTGTCATAATGGAAAAACTTTGGGCTGATGGGGAAAGTGTGTTAAAGAGCACAGAGAGGACCATGGATGCCCTTTTATGTGCATTTTTAATCCCCTCTTGGCTTCATGTCAGTGCCAGTGTGCTTATGACTAGATAAGGATGTGATCCGAGTGAATTTATAGCAAATACTGGATAAGTTTACCATCAACAAAACCTCTTTGGAAAAGGGACATAGTTCTGTAATGCTTGAAAAATATCCACTATATTGTTCTGATGAAAGGTGACTGAGATCAAGACTTGCAGAAGTTATATTAATGTTAATTTGATAGCTGTTTGCGGTACTAAATGGTACTAAATCTATTTTATTTTTTTCTGACATGTTGGCGTTTTATCTTTCACTTGCATTGAGTAAATAGAGCTGGATAAAACAAAAACTGTGTCCGTCTTCATTTCAGGCTGCAAAGCAACAAAATGTGATTATTTTAAAGGGGGGTGATTCTTTTCTATACTCACTGTATATAACAACTGCAAACAATAAAAGCAACATATGAGCTACTCCTTTTTTGTTGTTTAGACCAAGTCCATTTAAAGTGGTCCATTATTTTGTTCAAAAGGTCAGTAATGCCTTGACATCAGGAAGTTTAGTGCAATAATAAACGGTCTGTTTTATTTCTATTATACCACTTCAATTAACAGCTGTGAATAGAAATTAAATAACACTTGCCATTGTCAAGAGAAAGTTTCTGCTGTAAAGAAAAGAAGAACATTAGAATAGTCTGAAAATCTGATGGAAGATAAACATTTACAAAACTCAAGTTTACCCTAAAGATTCAGTAACAAGTAATCAAACCATGAAGTAAACAACCATGGAGTTTGACTCAACTATAGTTACAGTGTGGTCAGTCATTTTAGCCTTTGAGAACATATCAGAAGTAAATGCACTGCTATTTTATCATGCACAGTTTTTAAATTACGGAGTAACCACAAACCCATTTTATGCTTTTTCCCTCTGAAATCCCTTACCGTGGAGTCACAGGCTGAAAGATGACTGACAAAGAGCAAAACAACAATCTGCTTTTAATTCTGGAGTCTCTTTAAGTGTTTTTATTCTTGGGATTTCTGTCTTTAAACAAGAGCCTTTATCGGGACTTTTAAGCAAAACTGAACAGGAAGTTCCTGAAAGCATTTCTGAGGACTTGAGAACACATGAAAGTGAACACGCATGTATTAGTGCGCTTTATGTCCAGCTGTACAGAGGGAAAGCAGTCTTGTGTCGTAAAGTATTTTGGGTCTACTGTGAAATAAAGAAAACACCGGCCATGATGTCATGAGCCAAAGACGTCCGGTTTGGGCGTTCCAGGTTCTGCTGGCCTGAATGATGGCTCCAGGGGATGAATGAAGTTTTTAACATGATTCCTGAGTGTTAAGAAAGTGGTCAAAAGTGACGAGAGGACTTCCTCTTAAAGGGAGGCTCTGGGGTTTTCACATCAAAACCCATTTTAAACTTCATCCATCCAGACATTTAAGATTCACACACCATTACACATGTGCTTCCACATTTACATTTTGATTGGTATCCTTTTTTCCCCGCTTACTCTAAATACAATGCACATTGGAGGCTCTTCCAGCTCCAGAGATGCACTACATAAACAAAAACATCAACCAAATCAATCAAGAGCTCCAGTTAGCAGGCAGAAAATCCCTCTCCATTCTTTCATCTTCTGATTCAAAGCTTCATTCAGATTGTGTGAGTAGCTGACGACCAGTTTCTGGAATATTAACCCATATTGTGTGTGGTTTTTTTTTTTTAATAATATATTTGTAGATATTTGAAGTAATTCTCTCCTAAACAAGTGATTTAAACAATGAAAAAAATAAAATCTGATTTCAATATGAACTGGTAAAATGATTCCTCGGGATTGCATGAGCTCTATACGATGAGACCAGGAGCATCTGGAAATTTCAGCTGTCTTCTTCCTGTTCTCTTACTAATAGCAGATGAAGAGAAAGTCATCCCTGAGGTCACATTAATCCTTGTGTGTTAATATATAACAAAACATTGTGAACATTTTCCATCAGATTCACCATTTCAAACCTGACAAAACCAAACATTTCAAAAGTAAAACTTCACCCAAAAATAAAAATGCCATTATTACCCTCACGTCGTTTCAAACTCTGATGCTATTTTTTACTGTGGGGGAAAAAAAAAAGAATCTTCATGTGGTTCATAACCACATCTATCAATCTCAAAACAAAACAAAAACTTTGATTTGCTGCTAAAGCTCCCCTCCACTGAGCTTGTTAATACTAAACACCATTGTTATCATGTATCCCATGACCATCATATCAAACCTGGGCCAAATTTAATAGCTATGTTGGAGAAGAACATAATCAGTGAACAGCTTAAATTCGGGTCTTTGGTTGTCGCACAAAGCTAACTGACGTCTTCAGAAGACTTCAAATGTAGCATACATAAGTCCCATGGTCTACTTTTATAACGTTGGGTATTTTCTGTTCATCCTGGAGCTTGACGTTGTACTGAAAAAACTCTGAGAAGATTCAAAGCAAAAATAAAAGGCATAAAGGCTTGGAACAACATGCAGGTGAATAAATAGTGACAATTTTTAACATCGGGTCAACTATTCTTCAGATATACCAGGAAATCTATTCGTGACTCGCGAGTCCTTCTGTTTCTTCAAAGAATGTTATTTCAGATGCTTGAATGTAGGTTAATTTGTGACAAAAAAGAGAAAAACGAAAAAGGACTTCAAACATGAAACAGCAAAGATCTTCTTGCATCTTTCTTTGCTTGCTCCTCTTAGAAATTTGATGTTGCCATTTCATTCTGTATCAGGAAGCTTCAAAGCGCCAACACTGAAATGCTCAACAGAGGTCAAACGATTCTATCCTCGTTTAGTTGCACTAGTTGGCCAATATCATGTCAAAACATGGCAACAGACAGTACTCCATCTCTGTATAATATTGCATTCCTCAGTGCTGGAATGGCTTGCGAACTTTCTTGCGCCGGCGTGGGGGCTTTCCTCCATCAGTCCAGTGTTCGCTGGATTCGCCCCGTTGGGCTCCTGGGCTAAAGAACCCTGTTTGTGGAGAAGATCCTGAAAACATGGTTGAAGTCCCTGCAGCTGCTCCGGAGGAATGTGGCGGCGGGTTTCCTGTTGGGAAGAATCCTCCATTAGCAGACATGTCACTGGGAGCTCCACCCTGGAAGAAGCGGCTGAAGAAGTCCTGCAGGTCTGCAGGTGAGCCTCCACCTGGTGCGTGATCTGGGGGGGATCTAGAGGACAACATGAAGACTCTCATTACAGTAACATACATGCAGTTAATTAGGGGCCAAGCTCCAAAAGTGAACAGGCACCTCCTGTTATTGTTCTTCTTCTGCTCAAGTCTATGGCAGTCCACAAAACCTCTTGCGGGAAATTTGGCACACAAATAGAGGACAGTCTGAACATTAACCATAGCAATTTTAGGGTTACTATCTCAAACCTTTCTATTGCCATCAAATTATGAACCATAAGGGCTAGAAAATGCTTTTTTCCTTGGCTCATTCAGAGTCGAATGTCATACTCCCGGTCATGAAAATTGTCCAGTTAGAATGTTTCCGAAAAACCTACTTCATACTCCTCCAAGACCGTTGCTCCAATTTTCATGAAAATTGAATCAGATCATCGCTAGACAATGCTGGCAAAAAGTGTTTAAACGATTTGTGATAGATCAAACGGTTCATGTATGACGCATCAATTAGTCAATGATTCAACGACTCTGCAACATTTTGGCATATTGTGCACCTGTCATTACCAGGATGACCTGTGGGTACTTGAATCAAATGATACACAACAACTGGCCATTTTGATTTTTTTTGTCATAAAATGTTATATTTTATGAACGTTTTGGCATATAGTCATGAAACCTGATTTGTGTCAAACTTGATTTTCTCTCAAAAACCTATTTTTAAAGTCATCCTACACTGTTTGTTCAATCTATCAATCACATTTCACACAGCTCATCGTCAGACCACGCTGGCAAAAAGTTATTAACAGCTTTTTGATATTTCAAACTGTTTTAACTCTTCATCAAATTTACACTGTGTTCCAAATTATTATGCAAGTGACATATCAATAGGATTTCAGTACAATAAAGAGTCTTTTGTTTGACAGAAACTTTCCTTAATAAATCTTTATCTGACCAAGATCTTCTGTCACTCACAAATCTTTTGACAGTTCAATAATTTCTATTTGCTTTTCGCAAAATATAGTTTGTTTTGATGCCTTTTGCAAGACATTGCATTGTTTCATATTTTCATCTTCAGAAAGATCTTTCTTCCTCACCATATTGCATGAGAACTGTGACTTGCTTAATAATGTGGAAAAACCTCTTTAAGTAGGGTTTCCATTTACCTAAGAAGACCTGGCAAACTATTGAACAAACCTGTCTGAGATTGATACCAGTTACCTAAAAAGACGTGAAAAACAACACAAACAAAAATCTAACTCTTTATTGTACCGAAACCCTTTTGATATGTCACTTGCATAATAATTTGGAACACAGTAGGGCTGTCAAAATTTTTTTCGAATTTCGAATATTCGTCGAATTTAAAATAAAAGTCCACATTCGAATGCAAAAACGTTGCATTCGAATTTTAGGTGTGCGTTAAGGAGGAAGCCTTATCAGTGGTGCACGAGATGCGATGACAATGTATGTGTCATTGCATTTTAATGTTTTTGTTAGCCTATCCAGCTGAAGCCAGTAGATGTGGCGCAGCTACGTTGTTAATTACAAATATTGCGGGAAAAGAGAACATCAATGCGGAGATCATCTTGTTTACGTCAAAACTGAAACCAAGCCGTTCACACAGAATGCATATTTCACGCATTTTCTAGACAGACATCTATCACCGTTGCATTCGCATCTCGCACAAAAGAGCTGCATGTTTAGAAAGCCATGGGAAGTGACTTTCCCATGGCTTTCTGGGAAAGCTTTTGCACACTGAAGTGTGCAAGTCTCCCACTGACTTGCATCGATAGAATGACCAACATTCCGAATCTATCTGACAGCGATGATATCATAATGGCCTTTGAGTAACTGATGAGGTCATAATGGTCTGAGGACAGAACACTTCTTAGGAAGAAAGTCAGAGCGATTACCTGTGGCGGCTGGTGCCGCTGCTACCTTTAGAGCCAAAAGAGATGTGATACGGCACGCGATGCGTGTCTGGAGAGATACTTATACGCTGACAGCCTGCCCACTCTGTGTGAACATAGAGATGAGTCTCAACGATCTGAACATATGCATACACAACATATGAACACAGCAATGATCTGAGAGTGGCAATGCGAATAAACTACCAGTGATGTCAAAGACTTTGCCATCCATGAAGGCGAAGAATGTGATGCGCAGTCCCAGCATACTAGACTCAGCCCACAGGTCTCCCTCCTCGGCACTGTGCCACTTACTACATTCAGCACAGAATCGGGCCTCACCAGGCTCACGGTCCATCTCAAAGCGCCTGAGGAAGAGGCCATGCTCAGATGAACATAGAAATGCTGCTTATAGCACAAAACAAGCTCTGTATGAAATGACAAGACTGAAATGATGATCAGTAATACGCACTTGTGCTTGGCCTCACATTTAGTGCACATCATTGTGTTCATGGCTTCTTTCAGGTCATCCTGCAGTTTGGTCAGGAACTCATTCATGGATTTTGAAAGCTCTGTAGCTGCCATACGCTTCCTGCAGACACAGAACCCAAATTCAAAATCACTCATTTGTGCTTATATCAAAGAAACATGCACAGGTCACATTTATAATTCTCATTATTGTAATTTTTAAAACAATTAGTCATATAATTCAGCATGAAATGCAATATATCAGACATTCCCATGATACAATGTTTGTAAGAATGTATACAACTAATAACTTTTTGCACATTACACTCATGTTGTGTTGTCATTTTGACCTGGAGAAGATTTTCTTTTTCCCGAAAAATGTTAATGTTATCACATTGGACTAAAACGTACTGACTTCGCTTGCTGACACAGGGTACAGCAACTTCCCCAAGGGAAATGGATCATTTTTTGGGATATTTTTCTTACTTTATTACACTTGTGGTGTTTCTGGTCAAAAATGGGAACTACAAACTGCCCTACAAAAGATTGCTCTTTCATTATGCCAAAGCACCAAATCTTGGTTTCAATCTTTTTGTCAGCTTGTTCTCTTTCAATTAGCTCAGGCTTTGTATTTCTGTTTGGGACGGACTGATCGTAGGCCTCATTGATCTGAGCATATGCACCTCAATTTTTGAGTGAATCCAATATTTGGTGATAATATGGCATAATGAGAGATTTTCAAGCTATTTTTAAAAGGCCAGTCATTTTTGACTGGGATCACCAAATTAGGTAAAGGATTTTTAGCACAGCACAAGGGTTTAGATTAGAGTAATGATAATCTGTGGGTAATAGTGTTTAAATGTCAAGAGAATATTGTCACAATGCAAAATAACAGAAGCCATTTTCTTCATGACAATATTTCATTAAACTTTTTGTGCCAATTTAGTATGTAGATCAATCTACTTGTTCTTATCTAAAAGCACTCACAATTCATACTCTCGCCGAGTCTCCGGGTTACTGACAATGTCCCACGCTGCTCTTAACACCTTAAAGGCCTCACCAGCACCTGGGTGCTTGTTTTTGTCTGGATGAACCTGTACACAAACAATACATTAAACCTTGACAAATAAATATAATCCATAATTCAACAGAGATATAATAGATGTTTCCAGGCCATGATTTGATGTCATCTCACCTGCACTGCCAGCTGTCTATAAGCTCTCTTGAGTTCTGATTCAGTGGCATGAATATCCACTCCAAGAACATTAAATGGGTCCAACTCCTCTTCAGGGATCTGTAGCAGAGCAAGAGTTGATAAAGAGGTTAAAGCATACTTCAGTTTCAGATTTGCTACCTGTCTTCATAAAAGTACGGTACCCAACATCACATTAATATTGGTCGTACTGAATGATTACAGGCTCGCACAGATAGAGCTACCTCTCTCTCTCTCTCTCTATATATACATATATATATATATATATATCTGCTTGATATGTCAGTTTATGAAATCTGATGCTAGCCTTTAGATTGCTTGTTCACACAGAAGTGAATTAATATAATGATTAAGTATAGTGACAACAACAAGCCGCACTCTTGTGTCTGAGAATTAAAACAGTTCAGAGTCCTGTCATAATTAGGCGTCATTCTAAAATGACGTGAATGCAGTATTATCACGTGGCTCTCTAGGGTATTTGATTGTGAAAAGACAATTTTTTTGGTATATTCAAGCACATTTCCTACTCAGCTGTGCCAGTTTCAGGTCTCTCCTATCACTCTGCACTCTCTTCTAAAATAATCAAATAAACTCAAATCAATATTTTATGTCCGGATGAACATAAAATAAACATAATTCATAAATAAACTTGTTTGGCAAGTAACTCTGTAAGTGGGATAAAGTACAGTCAGTCATTAATCATAAAGTAAACCCTGACATGAAGCACAAAGCTGACTGTACATTATCCATTATTAGTCGGATAATACTTGAAGTCTTGTATTGTGATGCACATCCGAGTGTAATAGATTACTGAAAAAGAAAAATGTTGTATAATGCATTACATAGATATTCATAATGTCCATTGTAACGCATTATACCTTTTCATAAATAATTGTAAACAAAGTTAAAATGCATTATAATATTTGTAGGTTTCTTGTTACACTGAAAACTGGTTGTTTGTCATGTGTTTTAAAGCATTATAATTTGTAAAGCTGTAACAATGAACAGATAAATATTATAATGTATTATAACTGTGGTAACAATTATTTAGGATATCATACAATATACATATGTATTAAATAACATATTTATACTTAATATATGATATATATATATATAGTGTGTAAATTATAATGTTTTTACACAGTATAACACTTTTTATACTAAGAAAGTATAATCTTCAAAATATACAGCACTGCTTGAAAGTTTGTGAATTGTCTGTATTTCTACATAAATATGACTCGAAAGATCATCAGATTTTCACACAAGTCCTGAAAGTTGTCAAAGAGAACCAAATCAAACAAATGAGATGAAAATATATACTTTCTAATTTATTTATTCAGGAAAATTATGTAATATTACATATCTGTGAGTGGTAAAAGTGAATCTCTATATTAGCAGTTGATTTGAAGGTGAATTTAGAGTCCATCTGTTCAGAGTTGTTTTTTATCAATAGGATGACTATCAGGTGTCAGTGTGTGCCCTATTTTAATTAAAGAACAGCGATCTATCAAAGTCTGATCATGTTTGTGGAAGTGAATGATGGCACGAACAAAAGAGATCTCAGAGGACCTCAGAAATAGAGTTGTTGCTGCTCATCAAGCTGGAAAAGGTTACAAAGCCATCTCTAAAGAGTTTGGACTCCAGAAATCCACAGTCAGACAGATTGTGTAGAAATGGAGGAAATTCAAGACTATTGTTACCCTCCCCAGGAGTGCTCCTCCAACAAAGATCACTCCAAAAGCAAGACGGGTAATAGTCCGCGAGGTCTATTCTTCTCGTCTTCTCACATCGGCTAATGTTAATGTTCATGAGTCCACCCTAACACTGAACAACCATGGAGAGCATGAGAGAGCTGCAAGGAGGAAGCCACTGCTCTCCAAAAAGAACACTGCTGCCATTTAATGGAGAGATGAGACCAAAATGGAAATTTTCGGTTTAAATGAGAAGTGTAATGTTTTGAGAAAGAAAACACTGCATTCCAGCATAAGAACCTCATCTCATCTGTGAAACATGGTGGTGGTGGTATCATGGTTTGGGCCTGTTTTGCTGCATCTGGGCCAGGACAGCTTGCCATCATTGATGAACAATTAATTCTGAATTATACCAGCAAATTCTGAAGGAAAATATCAGGACATCTGTCCGAGAACTGAATCTCAAGAGAAAGTGGGTCATGCAGCAAGACAACGACCCAAGCACACAAGCTGTTCTACCAAAGAATGGTTAAAGGGGTCATATGATGCTGCTAAAAAGAACATTATTTTGTGTATGAAATGTGTTTATGTGGTTTAAGGTTCAAAAAACATTATTTTCCACATACTGTACATTATTGTTTCTCCTCTATGCCCCGCCTTTCTGAAACGCATCGATTTTTACAAAGCTCATCGTTCTGA